ACAAGTTTAAATGTGCAGGTGATTCAAATAGTCTTGCTTTAAATTCCATTCAGGTTCTGACAGCTGTCTAGACTGGTGGCTATAGTCAAAACCTTCTGTTTATCTTAGCTGCTTGTTTTCTGTTAGAGACCTATCATTTTCCTATGTTGTATATTCCATTAATATCATTTTTTCTAACAATAATAATTCATGAAACTGTTTCGTACCTTTCTTTCCTGTGTACAAATATTCAGTTAATAACAATAACAAGACTCAAATTTTCTGCATTTTTCTTTAAATCTGTTGTCTTCAGCGCGATCTAACCTAGGTGGTCATTAACAGGCAATTACTGCTAAACTAGACAAAAAAAAAAAAAAAACCTCCAACGTTGGGAGAAACAGGCAGAACACTGCCTTCTGAAGTTTGCTGCCCAGCAGGGACCATGCAGCTCTGAACAGCACATTTGTCCCATCCTAATCTGTACCCGTCCCCCAGAATGCACACCTATCTTTCTAAGTAGCTTTGCCAAGTGACAGCTTGATCACAGCAATCTAAAATGGCTTAAGTGCCACAGGTTGACATTTTGCATTCTTTTATTACTTTCCATTTTTATCTACATAGAAAAATTGGCGATAACTAATATCCAGTTGATCTTTTCATTCTGGTAATAAAATGATAATACGAAGATCTTATTATCCACCCTAGACATCCATCAAAGTACATTTTCCAATAACAACACTGTTTAGAATGCTGCTTATCTCTTTCTAAGTCAGAAGTGAGATTAAGTACTTTGGCTTAAGATTCCCTTTTGTCTCTAGGTCTCGTGCCTTGTGTTGTAAAAAGACGTTGAACTTTAACCCTTGACATTTTGTCCTCCTTAATGTCTTCTGCAATTTTCTTCCTAAGGCATCTTAGATGAATCACTTGATGTGATAAGCCAAACACAGTTGAAAGTTGTGTCTACTAAAGTAATTGCCTCCTTAGCTCCAGAGAGGTTTTATCCTCACACGGAAACAAGAAGGGAACAGAATAAAGCCACAGTGGAGACATAGAAAAGAGACAGAGAAAGCAGTGGGAAGGACGAAAGAGCAGGGAAGGAGAGGAGACAAGCACAGAGCACAAACAGAAAGGCAAAAGAAAACAAGTAAAGCAGAGACCATGCATGTATTAAAGTCCACTTCTCGGGCTGGAAGCCAGTCTAGTGAATGAAGTGCTTACAGGCCAGGAAGGGGGACATGAACTTGGGTCTCTGCAGGAAGTGTTCATGATCCCCTGCACTGGGACATGGAAAGAGTGGGGCACTAACTAGTAGGCATGCCCAACTGCTGAATCCTAGGTTTAGTGACAGATTTCATCACAAAAGAAGTAAGGTAAGAGCTACAGAGAAAGAGTGCTGGCATTAACTTCTAGCTTTTGAAAGGGCCTGAACACTCTGTCCTCTTTCCTCTGCTGCCCACTCCCTACACACACACACACACACACACACACACACACACACACACACACACACACGCACGCACGCACACACTTACACATGCTCCATTGCTCTAATGGTTTTACTTCTTTCAGTAAGCAAGAAGAACTTTCGATAATAGGCCACTAGTATGGAAAAGCAAAAACCATTGAGAACACACAAGAGAAAAAACAAAAACAACAAAATTAAATCATTACTGTATCCACTACAAAATGATAGTAGTTACTTCTATAACCCTAACCCATGGGTCATGAGTGGAAGGATGGCTTCCAAATTTTCAGTATCTCTAAACCTTCAAGGTCATAGCTCTAAATGCTTCTAAGGATGCGGAGAAAAAAAAAAGAAAAATATTAAGTAATCAGTACACCACTACAAAGTTGATGTTTCTTGAAAAAAATTAAGTGTCACCTAAGCAGTTTAGATACACTGTTTGGAATCACTGCACACCCAGTTTCAAATCAGACCTCTCTTGGTAACTCTAAGAGTTTCAAAGAGACTCCAGGCTATGTGGTTTTGCAATGAAAAGAATACTGAATAAGAGTAAAATTTTGGCTGGGCGGTGGTGGCGCACACGTTTAATCTCAGCACGCGGGAGGCAGAGGCAGTCAGATCTCTGTGAGTTCGAGGCTGGGCTGGACCAACAGCCTCCAAAACAATACAAAGAAACCCTGTCTCATAAAAACAAACAAAAAAAGGCAAAATTTTGTACAGATCCTACAGTGAATTTGAGAAATTTTTACATGAAATAAAACTTCCTTTTGCAATTTTATAGTCTTAAAAAACTTATGTCATTTAATATTGCATAACAGCCAAGAGATGGCCAGATACATTTTTGTAACAATATTTCATAGCCAATTATTGAGGCTCTTTACTCAAAACACTTTATGTTTTGACAATATTTATTATTATTTAGTTCATATTAGTATAGTTTTAGGATTTTTTTGTCAAGTAGTCTATAGCTTTTTTCAATTAATTCAAACATTTTTCATCTTTATGTTAATTGGATGGCAATTCTCAGGCCTGTCCTATCTGGCTGCACTAAAAGGTGGTCTTTTTTGTTGTTGTTGTTGTTTTTGTCAATTGCATTACAAAATTATCAGTCATAGTGTGGTGCTTTGAAATGGAAGTGCCCCTACTGGGGTCTTTGGTCTTTGAACACTTGGTTCCCACTTGGCAGCAATATTTGGGGAGATTATGGGCAGGTGCAGTCTTGGTGGAGGAAGAATGTCAGTGGTTGAGTCTGGAGAGTTTAAAACCTCATACCACTTCCATTCTGAGATTCAAGATGTGAGCTCCTTTCACCATATTTGCAGCCAGCCCTAATAAACTTTGCTTTCTGTCAGTTGCTGATATCGGCAGAGGTGTGGCAGTGAACTGAGACAGGACTGGTCTGAGACACTTGTCCTTCATCACCCAAAAGATCAAAACATTAAAATTCCAAGTCAGTGTACAGAAAGAAATCCCAGATGACTTCTGCTCAATCTGAACAATTTAGAGGATAAATTCTCCATTTGTGGAAATCTTTTTTGTTATAGTCCATTAAGTACCTGTGGTAGTTTTCTTAGAATATATCAATTAAAGTTCTTCATATTTCGAGACAGTTACGCAAATATGACGTAGTAACTGTGTATTGATTGTCAAGACGTCAGACAAGCTTAGGGCTCACAAAAGTTCTACACAATAATTGCTCTTTGCAGTTAGAATGAGATACAAATATTTCCAATTAATTTTTGACTGAGAATCAAGCACACTTCTGGTGAAAGCAGGTAAACGTCGTTGTCATTTGGTATGTAAATTCCTAACTAGCCTCAAATTTGACTCATCTTCGTGAAATTCACTACATCTTCCCACTGCTCGCCAAGTAAAACAAAGGCAAAAGAAAATGGGAAAATTACCCGGACACTGACTGTTTCTTCCAGTGACTACTGTCAAACTAAGGCAACCACAGTCATGTCCAAGATACGCACTGAAAGCTTAAGATCCACTCACTTAATTTAAGTATTCAAGTGTAATTCATACTACTTTAAAAAGGGGGAAAATCACTAACCAGTGAAAATCTTTGTCTTCAAAGTTGTTATTCTATCAAATATGTGAAGTATGGAGAAAGACTTTCACACTACCATATTACTAGAGCCTCATAGCAGACAACAAAGACTTGGTCGAAGAAGACTGATAAATATATTCAATATATGTCCTAAATAATTGTAGCTCAGGATCAGGGAACACATTTGACTTGGTTAATTCCATTGTCAGACAGTATGCTTTTAATTTTGCAACTTTAAAAGTTAATGTTTTAATCTGTGCTTAATACAAATAAAGTAAAAGAAATACATAAGGGGGAGGTGTAGATGAGAGTATTTTCCCCACATGAATTTCCTACAATTAAGCAGGAATCAGTAAACTCTACCATTGTATTAATGCACAAATTTACCTTTGAAGAGAGTACTTTGGGGATTTCCAATTCACCTGTGTTTGTACTTCTGGGCACCAGGGCATCAGATCTACAAAAGCTATAAAATTGCTTCTCAGGAAGCTATGCAAGAGAACATTGGAGAGGAGCTGATGCACACTCGAGATTGCATTTGTTAAAGTGCAGAGAGATATTTTTTTAGGGATTATTTGGGTTTTGATCATTTTTAAGTGCTTGACATGGTTGGCTGTGGTTTATAATTCAATGCTTATTCCATGATTTATCAGACTCACCTTTCTTAGGACAAATATTAATTGTGTTCAAACCCAAGCATATGTAATGGTATGCATTTACTAGAGAAGTTATTTTGCTTTTGAAATTTTTTCCCTCAAAGGATGAGTTGTTGCTCTTTGGAAACACAGCCAAACTTACAGGCAGCTTTCTTCCAGGGCCAGAGACCGGAATCTTACTATGGCATTGAGAGATTAGAGGTGTGTTAGGATCATTTTGTTAAGTAGTTAATGAATTTGTGGTCATTGGAAGAACTTTCATTATGTGGTCAGCAAAACCTGGAAAAGAAACATCTAAGCATTCACATATAGAAACAGAATATATTAACTTTTTACTTAATGCTGGAACTCAAAATAAAACCACAGTCTTTATGTCCTTTCAGATCTCCATCCAGATTCAGACAAAAACCCAGTCCATGCATCTTTGCAACTCATCATTTGGCATGCATATCACATTTGAATGGTTCTAATTATCTTTTTGTAGATATATGATCAGGATGTAAAAATTCATCATGTAAATTTCTTAATAATCAAGAATGAACTCTTCAGGCTCATAAATTTTTCTGAGAAGGTAGGATGGTGAAGAACACACTATGTCTATGTAAATCTTTGTGTGAATTTAGAAGAATGATTAATATTCTCAAAATAAGAGAAGTTAGACATTTATTTTATATATTTGAGTTAAGGGCTAGAAATAGAAGGAAATTAGGCTCATTGTATTTTCCCCCTATTTAATAATAAAGGGAACTATCGGATTCAAGTTCTGATCAAATATCAATGACTCTATAACCTCTATAGAAGGCTTCAACTTCTATTTCAAAATATGTGCTGCCTTTTCCCCACATAGGCTCAGGAATTACAATGGAAAACCTTTGAACGGATTGAATAGCAAATGAATTTTTACACCCCAGATGATGGACGGGTATGCTTCAAGGTGAGATCATGAGTTTTGTAAATGCATTTCTCTTACTCTCTCTTTCTCTTTTCCTTGACTAGCTTACATTGTAATGGAGGAAGAACAGTTTAAAAATTTTGAATAGGCACTTACTGGAATTACAGTTAATCCTGATACAATCTAGATGGGGAAGAATAGATGAAAAATGAATATTTATCCTTCAAGGTAATAGCTGCAGACATCCAATAAAATTACAGTCCACCCTTCCGGGGACAGACACATGCAAATTTGGCCACTCCGTATCATTATTCTCTATATGCTTCTAGAACCCGGATGTATTGTTATAAAATTGTACTATCGGAAACAAGAGAATGTTTAAAAATATGGCCAATTCAAACAGAGCTACATGGTGACAAATCTAAGTGAGATAGCAAGTAGTTAACCGTCAAAGATGCTTGATTCAGACTGGCTGCAACATCCTCCCCATATGTGAAAGAACATACTATATTTGCAGCAAAAGTTAAAAGTGCTCCGTCACAATGGGGTATAGTGCAAGCTCAGCTAAGCTCAGACATCTTGGACCTCCAAAATCTAACATCCCACAAAGGCTGACAGAATTCTTTACAATGGCAGTGGTCAATTGGAGAAAGAAGTTAAAGGCATTCTTTCTCACTCCAGTACTTTTCAAAATATATTTCTCTTTTGATAATTTTGATTTTCTGGGGCACACAATGTTTACAACCAGATGCTGGTGGATTCCACACTTATATTCATTGGAGGAGAAAATAAACAACTGTATGAACCCTTAGGAACTACAATGGCTGTGGAGGAGCCAGCCGTCCTGTGAAGCACACAGGCCAATGTCTTTCTTAGCTGCTACCAATGCTATCTGTATGCATTGAGGATCACAGTTAACAGTACGTTACTGATTTTTCTTTTTTCTGTGTGCTTGCTTTACATAAAAGCAGACGTAAAAACAGAATATCTGGTGTGGATAACACAATGGTTACTTTTAAAGATCTGCATGGAACGTTTTGATTCTATTTTATGGAGAGATGAATACGTTTTGGCTTTTGTTTTATTATTTAATGCCTTTGGGGAACATGGAAAATATAAACCTAGATTCTGTGTCCATATAGCTAAGTTTGTCATGTGTCGTCAACCGCATCAGAAAAGTGGTTGCAAACAGCCAAGGACCAGCAGCTACACAACTCCTTCTACAGAATGCTTTGCTGCTGAGAACTCCTCTAAATATTCTCATTTTGAGCCATCAGCCTCTTAGCACAATTAGGCCTTTTATGCCATTTTATTGTAGTTACCCATCTTTGTCACTAGAGGGAACTCTAACAGAACAGTAAACAGTGTGCGAGTGTTTTAAACTATACTGTTTAACTTAATTTAACTTGTATTAATTGAACATAATTAAACGTAATAAGTTATCATGAGTTACTTTTCTATTTTTGTGATCTACCATTCTACCAATCACAATTTGAAAATGTAGGTAGGGTTGTCCCAATTGTCACACAGTGTTTTGCTCTAATCATCTTTCTAAAAGTAAATCTACATCTTTTCAAATTTTGTTTTTCTTCCTCTACTGATTCACTGGGCATGTATGTGTGTGTGTGTGTGTGTGTGTGTGTGTGTGTGTGTGTGTGTGTGTGTGTGTGTGTGTTTAACACTGCCACGAAGTACAGTAAAACCTCATTTATTTTTACTTATCTCATTTGGACTTAATGAAAATTATTGGTCAGAACACTAAATCTTCACTTGTATTGAGGCATTTTGGGGGATAGGGAACTTATGAATTAAGAAGATTTTGAGAGGCCAAACTCAGGTAGAAGATTAACTTCAGGATTCAGTAGAAGTTGATAGTAGAACTTACAGGTAACAGGGATTCCATTGGGATGGACCATCCTTTTCCATTCACTGAAAAAAATTTCTAGGCCCACCTGGTCACAAGATTTCACAGTTTGTATTAATTTGAGGTTAAATGAGTTAAATTTAACTGAAAAAATAATAAAGTGCTCAGCTTTTAAAATTCTACAATTCAACGTTTTTCTTAGTTTGCTTTGTTTGAACTCCATAGTTCATCTAGATGTGTGAGGTTTTACTGTAGCAACTCTTTCTGGAGCTACATGTAATCAGGAAAGCATTATCTCTCTGTAAAGGAATGTGTGTCCTGACTGTTCTCATGGCTGTTTGCTGAGGGCCGCAGACTTTGGGCATTGAAGGGTTGTGGATTGCTGAATGACAGCAAAATTTCCCACACAGTACTGTAAAACAGAAGAGATGGAGGACCACAAGGATGACTACTCAAAGGAGAAGCCCAAGGAGGAAGCAGGAACGACTATTGGTCTATATGTTGAAGTATAAATGGGATATTTCATGTGCATGTTATCTAACACATGCTGGCCTTATTTATTTATTTAATTTATTTTTCAAGGGTGTCATCCATCACCCTTTAGAGCATCCATAAACATAAAAGAGAAACAAATCCAATTTGAGACATATTAAAGCCTCATAATTCAAAGTTGTGAAAAGCATCTCACTGATAGGGCTTCCCCGAACCCTCGTTGGCAGGAATCACAAAGCACTAAATTATGCTGAACATAAGTAAGTGATGCCCGCCAAAGTGTTATTTAATTGCTTTGACTTTCCATAGCAAACAGGTTAGGGGATAAATGTTGGCAGGCACAACCGAACACGAAGAGAGAAGTGTCAGCTTAATGGCGGAAGGCGTAGTGTTACCTAGATTGACCGTGAGTTTCACGCGCCCCGCATCCAGCTCCAGTCGAAGGGTATCTGCAGAGTCTCTAGAAGTGGTAGCCATCAGAATACCGTATGCACGCTGGGATCTGAACCGCAAAGACACGTCCTCAGCCTCGGTGTGCATCACCACCGGTAGCTGAATTTTCATGAACATACTCCCATCGTAGCTCAAAACCGTTGCCTCTATGGGAGAAAATGGATACAGTTCAGTTTGGATTAGTGTGGTGCATGCAGGCTTGGGAGAGAGGAATCTGATGAGGTTTTCTTGACAGGACATCGATGATTACATCAGATCATCTGCTTCAGAAATGAGTTTCTTGTTTTGTAATGGCAAGGGACATACTTGCAGAGATGCCTTCATTTGTCTAAGTATATGCTAACACCCAGAAAGCCCCTCTGCTATTGCACTGACCATAAAGGGTCATAAATATTTTACATGCATTTCCCTTGTAAAAAGCATGGGTCATGCTGTTTTGAAAAGCTACAGTCTAAACCTGGTTGGAGACAGTGTGATGATGCATGTGTATATGGACAGTGAGGACGCCGACCATTCTGTAACATTAGTCAGCCTTGCCTTGGCTCTGATTGATTATTATTATTATTATTATTTTGGTTTTACAAGACAGGGTTTCTCTGTATTGTTTTGGAGGCTGTCAGTCCAGCCTGGCCTCGAACTCACAGAGATCCGCCTGCCTTTGCCTCCCGAGTGCTGGGATTAAAGGCGTGCGCCACCACCACCCGGCTCTGATTGATTATTTATGAGCAAAATTCCAAGGCACGTTAGCGGACGATGTATAAAGCCAGGTCTGTCTGGAAAAATCCGTGGATGAACAGAAGCTACTATCAATATGTTTTCATACTGTCTACTACAAAGTGGAAATATCACACAAATATAGGACTCCTCCTCTCTACCAAAGTTAATATTCCAAAGAAGAAAATAAAAATCAACGATGTGTCAACAAGCAAGTCATAAGGTTTTTTTTTCCAGTTTTTCCTGACAGGGTTTCTCTGTATTGTTTTGGAGCCTGTCCTAGAAATGTAGACCAGGCTGATCTAGAACTAACAGAGATCTGCCTGCCTCTGCCTCCCGAGTGCTGGGATTAAAGTCATGCCCACCAAGGCCTGGCTTAACCATGAGGATTTTACTTTGTGACTATGCTGAATGAGCAAAGTTTCTAAATTACCTCAAACCATAATCTCATGTTAAGGTTCCTTTACAAATAAGAAATAATTTTAAACATCTATAATCACAGATCTGGTGTCCTAAATATTGAATTACCACCAAATCATCTATAACTCTGCACATGGAATAGGGGCATGTGTTTCAAGTTAAGGTACATGGGAGTCACAAGCGCTATATTAAACACACTATGAAATCAGAAGAAAAACTATTGATGATAGACTGCTTCAAGAAACAGCACCCATCAGTGTTAAATACCATTTGGTGCTGGGACATAGAGAAATGTGTGAGACATGTTGCTTCTGGGAATTCGAAATGTCATTTAAAAAAAGAAAAACTACCTGGAATAAAAATAACCTGAAAAATTCTCAGCAGTCTTGCCTATTTACTCAGCATCGCCATTAGCTGTATTGGTGTCATTGTGTTGATTACTAAGATTATATTCTGGTGTGGCTTTCAAAGTTTATCTTTCAGAAAGTTTGGACAGTTAAGTACTGTTTCCAAGAGACTTCAATTATTGTTTGTTCTTCTTCAAGGCTTGAATGTGAATCCGGATTCTCTAAGCATTGCATTCGCTTCTAGAACTCCCTCCATCCTGTGCTCCTTCCACCCAGCCTTGGAAGAATGGATTTTCAGCAACCTGTGGGCTCTCTTCCCTCTTCTTCATGAGTGAAGACTTCTTCATCTTTTGCCTATTTGACATTTCCAATTAAAAATGGAATTATAATCCCACTCATAATTAGCCTTTCCCCAAATGAACACATTTCAAAAGTTCTCCTCAGGTCTCTTCCATCTCAGTAAAAGATGTGTACATACTGTCCAAGACCAACCCTGTGGCTTTCTCTCTGCCATATGCAGTCTATCTTCAAGTTTACAGACCTTTGTGTTATAATTACATTTTTAAATCTCAGTTAATAGCTTTTTACCCTTTGTAGTTAGCGTATTTCAGTTCCTGTTCTCATCTTACCTAGATAGCTGAAAGAGTTACCTCTGTGGTATATCTAGGTTTTTCTTTCTGCACACAGCAGCCAAGTTGAAGCCTTATGGAGAGAAACCCTCCCTGTTAAGATCATGTCTCTACTTTTCTTTTGCAATTAGAATCTCTCTGCCCTCAGCTATTGCCACCATTCTCTCCAGTTAATCTACTCCATGCATTCCAAGTCCATTCATTATTAAAACATTTGCACTCACAAGCGCCTGTATGCAGCAGTGTCTCACCCTACATCTATTAATGTTTGGTTCTTCTGGAAGGCTACATTTTGGTGAAATGTTCTGCTGGACAACACGGCTCCCTCCTCAGTTTATTCCATATTGAAGTATCAGGCCTGCTGTTTTCCATCCTAATTTATTTTTGGTGTGGTATCAACTGCATCTGCCCTTTGGAAAGTGCCCCGCAGAAGCAGGCCAGTGGCTCACCACTCTGGCACCAGTGAGCAGCGGAGCCAGACACAACTGAGACGCCACACTGTAAATGCTTCATGAATTAGCAACTGCCATGTACACTGAAAGCACATGGAAGAATTTTTCTGCATGTGGATATAATGTTTGCATAAGCACTGTGCAGAGCAGTAAATCATTTATTATATCTAATGCCAGGGAAATCATGTTTGGTAATGCATGGCAAAAACAAATTTCAAGTCTAATTTGAAGGCTATATTAGAAAAGGTTTTTGTTTATCCAAAAACCCTGTTGTTAGTCAAAGATCTAATAGCTGAGAAAATAAAATATGATGGTAAAATATACGACTTTATCTTGTGTCACCAAGTTTTCAAATTAAATAAGGGGCTTCTCCATGACACTGTTGTACAAGACAGCAGTTAATTTAGATAACCAGGCGATAGCTGACTAAGGAACAATTAAATAAGACTTTAAAGCCATAATGAGCTCTAAAAGTGTTTTGATATAATTTTAAGTGAAATTTGATACTTATTTACCCCTTTCCAATCTCTGGTCAATCATGCAAAGCAGCATATAACTCAGTAAAAGTAACAAATCATCATAGATTGTTTGTTACTCTGCTGCAAGTTTTCTTCTGGTTAATTAATATGCGTAACTGCTCTGTTTTGTAATAACCATATTTTAAATAACTTCATTTTTCTTTAAAAGCTGCTTAATTTGAAAACCAGGTTGAGGACACATCTTTTTAGAAATATACAATTACCAATTAGTCGTAAGTATATTGTGAAGTACAATCCAGAGCGGGGGGGAGGATCAAGCTCATTAGCCTTTTACCGTTCTCCAAAAAGCTTCAGGAGCGAAGCAATAGTAAAGAAATAAAACTCGAGTGCCCCCATGTGCCATTTCAAACGATTCTCAGTGTGAAGATAACTTGTTGATAAATGACAACTGAAAGCCTAAATGATTACTCATAATTAGAGTTGATGTTTAATTAGGCAAGAAATGGGAAATGAAAGAGGTTATAGTCTAGAATGTGCCAAATAAATGTTAGACAACATTCTGACATTTGAAGGTTATGCTATTTGGCAGCATCTTTTAACATTTGGAAAAATTATTTTATCATTTGGAACATAAAGAAGAGTACTTTAGAAGGGTAATTCTAAGACACTTCTTCCCAGTAAGGAAGAAAATCAGTTTCAACTTTGTCTTCTCTATCTTTTTCTCCCTTGTCATCAGGCTTGATGAATTTGCTTCTCTGCATTGTTCCTCCTTGCAGTCTAAAGTGTACACCTGCACTCAGTTTTGCTGAGAGGTAGTCACATATTGTGATCAACAATGAAAATCAGACAGGGAGCCAAATTATATGGCTCTGACATCTGTCCCTCCATCTGTCAGAATTTTAACAAACAAGTATGAAGCAGACCTCTGATTACACCAATACTCTTATTTCACATTAGCCCTAATCATTTAATAAATTTTAAGTGATGTAACCTTCAAAACTCATATTATTAAATACAATACATGAAGAAAATGCAAGGACACCATTTCAGTATTAGTCTTTCTTAAGAATCAATAGGCATAGAGAAAAATACCTTCCTGTTTAAGTCACAGATATTTTTCCATATGTAATTTCCTTTGCTTGCATAATCTGGGATGACTGCAGCACCGTTCTCTATGGTGTTGTGGTCACAGAAGCAGCCTATATCAATTTTTTGAATGCTAAAACAGAAACTTGTATAACTGTCTCGTTATTTCAAGGATTTTTGGTTGACTTTCATGATCGCAACCTCATGTGGTAGGAGTGTATCTGGAGAAGAGACACAGTTGAGCAGAGAGCTCAAGGCATGATCTCGTGTTTAGAGAACTGGGCAGAGGTAGCATTCTGTGCCATTGAGCCTGGCATTCACCTTATACCACCCTTGGTCTCAGGAGGGGCACAGTCATGTGGGCAAAGCATCAATTCAGAAGAGCAAATACGTCTTGCAAGATGCTGCTGTGGTCCAGAACAAGGATAACATGATATCATCCTTTTATCCTCAAGGAACAACTGATGTAGAGACAAAGAGATCTGCAGAAATCTCCAGCTAAGCATAAGTTACAAACGTATGCTAAATTCCTGTGAAGACGTTTCCTATTACATTCTCATTTGAAATCTGTACATGTGTTCCACCTCTACCTCTAATTATTGTCCCTCTAATAATAGTCCCTTTCTCCCCTTCTGGTTCAGTGAGCTCTATCATTTCGCTTTGCCATATGTAGTAGCTCAGTATTGCCACAGGGTGGTACACCATGCATATTTAACTGGAGGGTTTTTGTTTGTTTATTTTTTGTTTTGTTTTTGAGTTCCTATGACACTGAAGTTACAGACTTTCTCCAGCTACACTTTAACCAAAAGGCATCAGGATAACTGGACTATTTCTGAGTGATTAAAAGGAAAAGAAAATTTTAATTCATACAGGTCTGCTAATCTCATGTTGTGCCTAGCTGTATTTTACTTTTGTGAGCTCTGTCATGTGCTCCTCTCTTTTGGCAGTTTTCCAAAGGCAACCTAAACAAGCTAATTAGGAAGGAAAAAGCAAAGGGGTAATTTATAAAGAGTGTACTCATACAAGCCACAGCAGCAGGAAGAGCTAGACTCTAATGTCAGTTCACAGGATTTGCAATAATCAGGCAACACCATAAGGGGGATGATGGCTGTGTTTACATGATGTGAATCAGTCTATTGACCTGTCTAATTCTATTACACAGATTTTAATTTAGAGCTTTATAAATGCCCACCTTTTCCTATGGAGTTTTTAGGTCAAATTAAGTAAACTATTTTAGGACTGAGAGAAGAACCAACTATGCATGGCTTTCTGAGAAGCGCCTGGCACTGCTCAGGTTGGGTGCCTCGGGGAGAAAGGCTATTTGCACCACGAGAGGACGATGGAGCAATGCGTCGATATTTTTTTTTCATATTGATTTTTAGTTTCACTGTAGAAAGTGACAATGAGCATAGTGACTAAACCATTCATCCAAGGCTCTGGGTCGATGAAGGGCATGCTTGCAGCCATTTGTTCTGGTATTTCTTCTGTTATGCTGGTCCCCAGACCAGCTGTTGGCATCACCCTCATTCCGTTTTCAATATTCATTCCTCTGCTTACAAGGGAAAAGGAAGAGAAAAACAGGCACTTCCTTTCTTTTTTTTTTTCTTAGCAATGAAAGGGAAGTGCCTACACAGAGATTACTTAGAAACAGCTAAGCCTTAACATCAGACATGTAAGTACATATATGATCAATTAAAGACCGGACAAACAGGGCAGCAGTTACGAATGAGACATCTCAAGCACACTTTATAAGCTGTGGGTACCCACAACCGGGTCCTCTGAAAACCACTAAAGGCTCCTCAGTCACCTACGTCACTTCTCGGGGTTCTGACAGTGGGTCACTTCACTACAAGTCATAATGTTTCAGTTCAGGTTTGACGTCCACATACAGTAAACATTTCTTCCCGGGAACCAGAGGCTAGCGTTTTGAAATCCTACCTCTCTCACAGGACCTGCCGAGATACCCTGTTCCGGAGCAATCACAGACATATCTGTTCCAGCCATCCCTGCACATGCCATTGTTTTTGCAAGGATTGCTAAGGCACGGTTTTGCTGTCTCCCTCGAGCAGGATGGCTTCACTCCAGCAGTGCTCTGAATTTCCGCCATCTGCCGGATGTCTTTGCTCTGGCCATCAATGAACAGATCCCGGATGCAGCCCACGTAGCCATAGTTGAGCAGAGCAGTCCACACCTCGGTGGGGAAGACAAGGCCAGCCTTATTTTCTGGCAAGCCACCCAGATACAGCTCATCATCTAGGTCCAGGATCTCACTCTCCCCAGGAGCTGTGTAAGGAGTGCGCAGCGTGTTGACAGAAATGGTACCTGTTACAATGACAAGAGAATATGAGGTTGTTTGTGCATATAGTGTGGTCTGTGCCTCTCCTTTTTCCTCTTCTATGATAGAGCGAGAGCTCCTAAAGGCCAGACATTTCTATTTCAATCATTTAATCTAATTTAATATTTTAAGTTAAAATATAATCACATCATTTCCCCTTCTCTTTAATCTCTCAAAGCCCGCTCATATACTTTCCTTGCCCTGTTTCAAAATCATGGCTTCTTTCTTTAAATCAATTTTGTCATATGCGTATGTGTATATACATATTTGCATTTCTTATTGTTTTTATTTTAGTGTCTGGCACCTCTAAGCGTCGTCATGAAAACCAAAGCATATACATTCCTAATAGTGGGTGCCAACTTTAAACAACTCAAATTTAAATAAGCCATACAATAATGAAAATGGACATTTTTCTACAATGATGTCTGACTCTGTGGTTAGTGCACTTGCTTTACAAGTTAGCACGGTGGGACACATCTTTAATCTTAGCACTTACGATACAGATGCAAGAGGATTTGTGTAAGTTTGAGGCCAGCTTTGTCCTCACAACAAGCTTCAGGCCATCTAAGACTAAAGAGTGAAACCTTACGCCACCCCCTCCCCCCAAAAATCTTATCTTCAACCGATTTGGTTATCTTGTGTGGCTCTATAATTTGACAGATTTCAAAGTGAAGCTTCACACGTAGTGCATTCATCTATTGGTGTATTTCTGTGGTTTGGACTTCCATTTATACGTGTATGCATGATAGAAGTTTGTTCTGTGTCTTTAATGAAACATACCCGAGTCTCGCTTATAATAAATACCACAGGAATGTTCACCATTTTGGTGAGAGACTCAAGAAAAATCATTTGCTTCTCTTTAAACCAAATAAC